TTACAACACCTCGTATACTGAAGTTTAGAGAGTGACTCGCATTTACACGGATCTGTTTCAGACGTAGACCTACTGAGCTCCACCGGCAGTGTGACAGTGAAGTGTTTTTCCCTTCGTATTTTTTTCCTTCCTTACTGAAGGTTGTTGATGGCCCTTTAGTTCCATTATGTTCAGACATCACAACTACGATCCACCTATCCCCTGCTGGTAGCCGTTTAACTCTGCTGATATCTTCCAGCATGTTGGGCCTGCGAGGACAAATTTTGCCATCACTTACTGCCCGGGGGCATGCACACCATTTCTACTTGGAAGGAATGTTTTACTGTTTCCGAAGACGTCAATTTTACAAGAAGGAACTTGATGAGGTGCTAGACCATTAGAATAACAATTGGGTTATTTGAGTCGCATCGCAATCGGGTTATTTGCAAGCATGTTTCCCTGAACTATCTCACCTAAGCCATAAATGACCTGTCGATATCTTATACGTGATGCAAAGTGGACGGCAGGCAACGACCCCTCTACATTTGTAACATTACTTTGGCATTTTATTAGTCAAGTGCTATGTGCATCACGATAGTATTCCGGTGTCCACGCAAGTACAAATTTTTTACCCTCTTTTCCTCTGATATGTCACTACTATCTGTTATCCTTCTGAGTTTTAATTCTAAACAGGAATTTTGGGGAAACTGTCAGAACTTTACGATTCTTTTCTCAAACACGAAATACTTGCCCGAGCCGTTTTGCGGTGCATTATTCGCCGACACTGATTAGGATTATTCCTGCCTTATTCACCCTATTTATGTCGGATACCTCAGCTTCCCTATGCAGCGGCGTATTGGTGTAAAATTATCGACAACTTAAAAGTTCCCAAATCAGGATGCAGGAAATATAGTTGGATGGACAAGCTTCCGCACACACCGTGGTTGCAGCAAGCGTGGGGACGCAACGTGGTTGGCTTCGAGCCCTCACAAGCTGCTGCCGAATCGTAAGTGAACCCTGCGGCGAATTTACAGGGATTGTGAGGCGGACACAAAGGCGACGTGAGTAAATGAGCGCCCTGACGACCGCCGAAGCAGACTGCCACAGCACCCCCACCTAGACCGAAGGCGACCTGTGGCGAGGCTGAAGAAATTGTTCCTGCCCAAAAAACACAAGTAACCAACCGGTCAGGAAAATGAACACGGCGTCCATCACGTGTGATACGGACGTGAGGGACAGGAGGAGAGGGTTGAGTGCGCGCTGCGTTAGCAGAGTTGGAGGAGGAGGATGATGAGATTACAGTTGTAGGTAGAGGACACGACAGGCAGGTAG